GACCCCAAAATTCCACCTGGAAACCCCAAAATTCACACGGGGATCCCCAAAATCCACCTGGAGACCCCGAAAATCCTGAGAGGAACCCCCAAAATCCACATCAGGACCCCAAAATTCCACCTGGGGATTCCAAAAGTCACCTGGGGAACCCCAAAATCCACCTGAGGATCCCAGAATCCACCTGGAGACCCCAAAACCCCAGGAAAGGACCCAAAAAACCACAGAGCCCCCCAAAATCTCGTCAGGAACCCCAAAATCCACCTGAGGAACCCTAAAAATCCACACAAAGAACCCCAAAAGTCACCTGGAGACCCCAAAATCCACACGGGGACCCCAAAATCCACATCAGGACCCCAAAAATGCACCTGGAGACCCCAAAACCCCAGGAAAAGACCCCAAAAAAACCACAGAGCCCCCCAAAATCTCATCGGGAACCCCAAAATCCACACGAGGGGCCCGAAAATCCACACAAAGAACCCCAAAATCAACCTGGACACCCCAAAATCCACCTGGAGACCCAAAAATCCACCTGGGGACCCCGAAAATCTTGAGAGGAAACCCCAAAATCCACATCAGGACCCCAAAATCCACCTGGAGACCCCAAAAAAACACGGAGCCCCACAAAATCTCATCAGGAACCCCAAAATCCACCTGGAGACCCCAAAATCCACACAAAGAACCCCAAATTCCACCTGGAGACCCCAAAATCCACCTGAGGAACCCCAAAACCCACCTGGGGACCCCAAAATTCCACCTGGGGAACCCCAAAATTCACACGGGGAACCCAAAATCCACCTGGAGACCCCGAAAATCCACACAAAGAACCCCCAAATCCACCTGGAGACCCCAAAATCCACCTGAGGAACCCCAAAACCCACCTGGGGACCCCAAAAATTCACCTGGGGATCCCAAAATCCACCTGGGGAACCCCAAAAATTCACCTGGGGAACCCCAAAAATCCACCTGGGGTGAGAGTGAAAAGGGGGAGGGGCCAAGGCTGTGCACACAGGTGAGCACACCTGGACACACCTGTAC